CAAAAAATTGAAAGCAAAGCTACAATGAAGAAGATTATTATGGTGAGTATTTTTTAAGTAAATGAAAGTGAATACTTAGGCTCTGAATTAAATATCTCAGTTTTCAACTTTAGACCCGACCTATCTGCATACATGACATACTGTCAAAATTTGGGTTTTTTTTACTGTAACAAAATAAGAAATACTGACTGCTTGCTGTGCTAGCTGTTTTATCCTATAATAGTAAGTAATCAATTTGCTATGCTATAATCAGCGGGAAATTCATTTTAGCCAAAAGGGCATCTGTTACTGCCTTCAAAGTCACAAGTGCGCTGTTCGTTTCGAAATTGAACCTAAAATGGAAAAGTGAAAATTGTAGTATTCATCCCATCATGTCAAACCTTTCATTTGTCAATAAATTACAGAATATGTCTTTAATAAAACCTTTTAGTGTACAACTTAAAAGTTGTCGGCGAAATGGCATTCACCTCAGAACATCAGAACTTGTGTAAATGTTAAAATTCTTTATGTTCATATATGGTACGGGAAATTGAAATTAAAAACAAACGTCCACCAGGAAATTAATATTGTTATTGGGAATTAAAAAGACATAACAGCTTAAGTCGGAATTATTACTATTTCCATTTGCTTGCGACTTTTTTAAGCCAGCGTATTTTATTATGTTTCTTAGCGTGAATTTGCGTGACTGAAGGCCTGTACTCTCGAGTTTGGTGAAGTGTTCTAATGAACCTGGAGTTCTTTTGACTTTTTTTTTCTTATAACGTTAACTGTAGTTAGTACTGTAATAGAACTGGCAGTTTGCAAACCTATAAATCACTTTATCATTTGTAGTGCAATCACAAGTGCTTGGCCGAAAAATGACTGCTTAATCATTAAATCACTTTCTTTTTCGATTTATTAAATGTGATCAGATATGCTTTGCCCTAAAATCTCAAGCAAAACACTCACGCAAAATCAAGGTCCTTGACATCTAATCTCTTCAAATGATGAATTATTCTAAAGAATTTCAATTGACATATGATTTAAAACATGATCAAAACAAAAAACGGTCCTTTCTGTGAGCAAAAGGGCGCTCATGCAAATCCTTTTTCATTTTCATTTTGAGTTTCAATATCGTTTTTTCTAAGGCCATTAACAAGACCATTGTTGTGGTTTTCCGATAACTAGTTTTAACTGCAAGCAGATGGTAGAGACCACCAATCTATTACAGCCAAAAGAAGTTATTTATTTTACCATGATAAATAAATCCTTCATCCTGTCGAAGTCATCTGTCAAGTCAATCAGAATAATTCATACTGAACTGATATTCTCTGAATATTTCAAACTTATCGCCAGGCCGGGCCGGACTGTAATTCAGGTAGTTCTTGTATGTAATCGCAATATTACTTTACCTTTCACCTTATCAGTTCTTATGCTAAATTGATCACCATACTTGAGATTTAACAATCGTATTTTATCCTTTTTGGGTAAGAAAAAGTGTTGATCACAATCCTAGACGTCAAGTTCGGTCAAGTTCGCTTGGACAGCAAATCTATATTGTATTAGGATTGCTTGTAAACCAGCGCCTTTTTCGCCAGGAAAGCTTTAGCTCAAAACGAACCGTTTTTAATATTCCTTACTTTGGTGGGTGCTAATTCTCGTCTTATTTGCCTTTTTTCTCATTCTAGTTTTAGAGGCAGCAACATCATTTGATCTCAAGTTACAAACCTCAAACTTTGACAGATTTTCAAAGGCGCGTGTCAACCTTAAAAGCAACTGAAACAAGACGAGTTCACCAACTTCGAATGCACAGCAGCCCCGAGCCATGAATAACACTACACTTACTTTCAACTCAAGTAAACCTCTGGCCGGTACTCAAGGCAGTTCTTTAACGGTGGTTATAGCACTGACTCTAGCAAATGTATTGTCCATATTATCAGGAACGCTGGGTAACTCTTTGGTGATTATCTGTGTACTTATAAACCGGAGCATGCGTTCAACAACTAACTTGTTCATATCGTCTTTAGCAGCTGCTGATCTTATAGTCACCTCAACATGTATGCCGCTATTTTACGTTTACAACGTGCTTACATGGCCTGTTTGGCCTTTCGGAAAAATTGGCTGTCGAGTTTTGTCGTATTTGGTGCATATGTCCGTTATGGCCTCAGCGTTAAGCTTGCTGGCTATATCCTACGATCGTCTCCTCTCTATATTTTTTCCAATGAAACGATTAATTACTGTTAGCAGGGCTAAAAAGATGGTAGCGTTTATTTGGTTTGTTTCGCCGCTCCTTCTTCTCCCTTCACTCTTTCACCATGATATTCACTCAGAAATGGGTAATGACGCCAAGAAAGTGGAGTTGTGCATAGAATCGTGGAGTACTATACAGGACATGCATATTTATCAGATGTACCGAATCTCTTGTTACTTTCTCTTCCTGTTACAGATATCAGTTGTCTATTTTTGTATTGGTTACCGTTTGTACACACGTCAGCATCCCGGAGAACAAACGTCTCAGAGTCGGGCTAAAGATTTACTGAACAAACGAAAAATAATTAAAATGCTATTTCTTGTGGTTGCGCTGTTTGCTTTGTGTTGGTTGCCGTACATGATCAACAAACTTTTGAACATTTTTCCTCCAAGAAAAGGTTACGTTCCACCGAATGTGTTTGTCTTCGTTGGAAATTTTCTGGGACTGTTAAACAGCGTGGCAAATCCTCTAGTTTACGCTGTGCTTAACAACAATTTTCGTAAAGCATTCAAAAACACCTTGCAATGTAACTGTAAATATGAACTAGAGGAAAGACGTAGAACAGCCAGTGTAGTTAGCAAACAAACGCAACGTATGCGATCAGAAAGCCTCGTCGCTGACCGACTTAGAGCAAGTTCTCTCTCAGGAAGCGAAAATCCGGTCACTACTGTCCTCGCTCTAGATCGGATAAGGTGCCTATCGTTTACAAGCATTGAGCAAGAAGCTTTGGTTGAACTGACAAATTTCTCAAATTGCTCTCAACAAAACCGAGTTGGTGCACGAAGAAACCCAGAGAATCGGCGAGTAAGTTTTGGAGGCGACAACTTGCTTCACTCTGAAGAGAACGCGAACAAAAAGGTGGAAAAATCGGAAAATGAACCTGAAAATGTGAACCAGGGATTGCCGCATGCCTTTAATGAGATAAACCGACCAAGACAGGACAGCGGCAGGTACTTATCTCCCATTAACGAGAAAGGATGTAACAACAAAAGCTTTGAGGAATAATGAGAAAAAAGTTGGCGAGATAGGAAAGAACGAAAAAAAAGGCCTGCCTAACAGAGCTTGGCGACAATGGTGAAATATTTGCGGCGACACAAAATATCAATTATCAAGTAATTCGTACACATGAAGAGGGTTTTAAACTTTGCTAATAACACAATCGTAATCAGACATTTCAGACTATCCATCTAGTGATAATACCTACTGACATTCTCAATCTCAAACAACAAACTGCATTTAACCTATATCAGTAAAATCCAACTAGTGGTCTATTTTCAACGCTGTGTTGTTTGGTTGAGCTACTGCTACTAGGCAATTTTTTATAGCCCACTAGTAGCGAAAAGCGCCGGCTTTGAAAAACACAACAATGGCGGCTGAGTCCCGTTTTGCTAGCTCAAGTTGTTTTGTCGCGATATTTTTGAGCAATCAGTTGGATTTTACTAAAACAATTATTCCTCAAGCCCGAATGGCCTCTTAGTCAATAGCCCATGAGGCCGACAGAGCCCATTCGGGCTCAAGGAATAATGTTGATAAATACGCGAAATCAAACTGGAGAATAAATACCATATTACCTACGTAAATATCAACAGTTCTTTATTCAAATATTTTTTACACTTATAAAAAGGAATTTAGTTATTTGGAAGTTAAGCGAGTAAAGCTGCTGATAGATCTACAGCAATTTTTATTGGTTTGTTTGTAAAAAATAGTCACGCTTTTCACAGGAATTCAAGGACTTTAAGAAGTTGCAGAAGAGAATGTTAACAGTCTTTTATTTGAACTGCTAACTCTAAATATTAGCCCAATTTCTACTTTTCCTGCTAAATTTAAAAATTCAATTTGCTTTCTAAATCGCGCAGATTATCTAGCATCATAATTTATCTTAATAAGCCTACTAACTACGTATGATATATATGTTTAACAATAACAAATTAAACCCACAGAAAGCTTTACATCTTGTCTTGATAGCGAAAATGCTTCAAAAAACTCAAAAACTCTGCTTTCCTTTTCCAGATGCAATTTTCGTTGCCAACACTGGTAGACTAAGTAGTTTGAATCTCTCTCATACTAGCATTCCCAGCCTGTAAATCCCTTAATAGCAAAACCTTAACGTGAAAAAAAAAGTACTTAATGTAACAATTTGCGAAACTTACGTAACGCTACCAGAATCAATTTCGTTTTTCCTTTCACATTTAAATTTGGTCATCCCAACAAGGTTAAAATGACAAAAGCCCTTTGCACACAGAAGCATAGCCTGCGAACCGCAGACGTATTTCCGGTCGTCGCTTCTCTCCCTCCGAAAAATAACGGAGGGAAAGAAGCGACGACCGGAAATAAGTCCGCGGTTCGCAGGCTAGCAAGAGCAAAACCCTGAAGAATTCTGATAGTAGTAGTAAAAAAAAAACATCATTGAAAGGGAACAGCAATGGCTTCGTCTGTCCAAGTTTACACTGATGAATACCAAGAAATAACTACATATATATCAAGCATACATTTGAAAAAAATATTTTACAGGCAAAATCCATTCAACTATCTAGCCGCCTCTACATATTTTGGGTGATAAATGGGCCGCGGTTAAAGAATGAAAAATATTCAGTTTAGAACACCGTTCAACCAGCAAAACTGATCAAGGGCGGGGATTTTCCAAATATTTTTCCTGTTGAAATGCAACAATCTATTGACTTTTTTATGCCGAAATTCCCGTTTTTTAGTCGCGCCCCATTTGGGCAGTGATCCGCGTTCAAAGGATGGCGTCCATAATTCGTTGATCGGCTCAGCAAGGTCTTCCACCAGCATATGTGGGATTTTCAAATGTTGTCTTGGCTGCCTGATACAGGGGATTTTTCTCCTGAAAACCACACAACAGTCAGACCATGTTAGTTTAGCGTCGTGAAGCAAGATATAGAAAAGGACATATCAACGAGTGTGTACTTCCACTAACAGTAACGTAGTATTCTTAATCTACATTTCGCTAAGAAAAAAAAGGATTTGCTTGGCATTTTACAAAAAGGTTATAAAAGGGCTGCTTAAATGAGTTTTTGGCAAAAAATTCACTCATCCTCGAAGCAATAAATTAAGAGAAAATGACAATTAAGATCTAGCTGCTTTTAATAACGTTCAGTAACACTCAACGAAATAAATGTATTTTGAAGCTTACCTTGGTCCATCTGGAACGAGCCTGCTCTTGCTGGAATTTTTGATACTCAATACGATCCTATGGTGAAAAACAAAATTTCTGAGCATTTTATACTAATTACAACTAAAGTATCCGTGTAGAAAGGCAAGATATCGCAAAGCAGAAACACCACAACAAAAAACGCATAAAAGTGTTAACATACCACCATGGTAAGAAAGGCTTTAATAAGTGCCAGGATGATAAGACCGAGGAGCACGATTCCACCAACCACTGCTGCTACAATAATGACAATCGGTGCTTCTTTTGGGCAGTTCACTATAATAAGAAAAGTTACTCATCTCAGCCTGTTCTCAACAAACCATTGTCTTCCTTCTCCTAGCTTACTTTTATGAACTGGTTTTGATTTAGTGTAAACGCACGAACCTCCAGTAAGCAACCATCCAAATTGCTTGGTCGCTTACGAGAATCGAACACAGGTGGTCATTTCAAGCAAGGGTCCCCACACTTCAACATTTTGTAAAATAATGTACTGCACGCAATTTCACAGTTACGATATGTGCAGTTATATCTGGTCACTTAAAAATCTTCGTATACTCTGCAAAGCGTAGCACAAACAATACATAGACATCACTGCATGAACCACGCGTCAAGCAGTCGCTGAGAACAAGGAAAATTATAAACTGACCGTTACCACAAAGTGTTTGCGATAACTTATGTGAGATGGTCGTTTACGAGAGGTGTTAATTTCAGGGGTATGACTTGGAAAATTTTGGTATTTTTGATAGGTGGTCCCTTACAAGGGACGGGGTCCAAATGAAAGAAAGTGCAGGGGAAATCTGAATTGAGCGGCGGCATATGAGATTGCATGAGAGCGATATTTTCCAACTTCCATTTCTTACTTGCAGTACATGGAAGTCCTCATAGGTGACAGAACGAGTCCGGTAATTACGAACAAGAATTAATATCATCTCGAAAGTTTCAATTTCATTTCAAAGAAAACGCAAGGAGTTGGGCCAAGTCAATCATTCTACAAATACACGAGGCAAGTTATATGAGAGGTTGTTTAAATTTAACAGTCCTGAAATCTTTGGCGAATTTGCGTAATAACCAGCGCTGTCCTCCTTGATCCGTTGTACAGGTACAAGATCATAACAGACACATCACTGTGACAAGAGAAATTCTAACAATCATTGCACGCTCACCCAACCCGGTTCGCACAGATACAAATCAAACTCCATTTATTATTTTTTTTCTGTAGCTTCAGAAATTTGAGGAAACTTTCAGTTCCTTTTTGCCGAGGCTGGGAGCATCATATCATTTTCTGGTACATTAATAATAACTTTGAAATACAGACAGTAAAGCTCCGTCCACACCAAACCGCGGGTATTCAGTTTTTGAAATCGCATTTTCTTCAAAGGTCGGCCTCCCGTCCACACCAGTGAATCTGCTCACCGAAAAGTGGTTTAAGGTCCGGCCCGTTCACACAAATCACGACATTTCAAGTTGGACTGTCCAAATTCGTGTGGACGGATATGGCCTAAATACACTGCCTTACATTACACTGGATAAAAGGAGCAAAATTTCTACCTTTGTCTTTCTGCACATACAACTTGAAGCTTGTGCTGTCCTTTTCTGTTTCAGTGGTAAAGTAATATGTACAACCGTCCTTTGAATCAACTGCCTCGCATCCAAACAGACCTTCATCTAAACAACAACAGACGCCGCTACAAGTTATTTATCGCAAAACGGAAAACTGTGAACATGTCGAAATCTACGTCTCCTGTCAAATAGCACATTGGAATCCAGATTTTCTGATTTCCCGATAAAACACGAAATCAAAACCCGATTTTGTGCTTGGAATTGTCAATAGAAATAGCGAGCATTTTAGTAAAGAATTTAAGTACGTGGAAATCTGTTTAAGGAGTCTCGATTTTAAAGGAAAATTCATAGGTACATTATGGGCAATGTGAAAATTTTTACCTGTCTTCTTTGTAATATCGGATACAACTTCAACTTCAAGAACATTAACCTCGCATCTTCCGTCATTTTTGCATTCGGCTAAAGACTTTCCTTCGAACGTTGAACACTTTGCACAGTCCTCATTTCTACTGCACATTCCATCTTCGCAATACTGAAAAAAAAAGAAATTGCTATTAATTTAGTATTTACAAGCAACAACTAACCTGGCTTAACCTGTGTACAGACGTCCCCCGTCCCTCAGAAAAAAATCGGTACACAGGCTAACCTAGCTTTAATGAATTGCAAAAGTCCAGTTTACTAAAAGCGAGCACGTTACATGTAGTTGATAACATAATATATCAAGCACAAGAACTTAAATGGAGTATTTCTCGTCTGCCCACTCAAAAGTGGGTTAAAAACACGAGGCCTAGCTGAGTGTTTCACAGGTAAGATATAACCAGTCATCAGAAAAACATCCTTTCGAGTGTTCGCTATATGTTCTCAAATGATCACTAACCTTTCACAAAATTCAAAACAAAATGGTATGGTAATTTCGGTTCGTAAACGTTACTTAAGCAGTGGATACTATTCTTCACTTGTTTTTATTGGCCATCAGGGGACCGGAGTGGGTGGGGGGGGAGCACTCCGGAGTAAAGTGACGGGGATGATAAAAAGGAGCAAGAATCAAACCAAAAATATCCCTAGGGCTTCCAATGAAACCCCCAAAATTCCCTGGACGGAAAATTACTTATTCACCATACCATCTGAATTTACCTTTTTCTCACCTGGCAGTCTAGAACTACGCGGCTGGCATACGCGCAAAGTACACCAATCGTCAAATTGTTTTTGAATACCCCCAAAAAATCCCTACTTAAATCAAAGCACCGAAAAAAAGGCCACATTTCCTATTTTATAAAAAAACCCTGAATGGAATTTCAAACCCACAGAAAATCCTTTCAGAACGTTTTTTAATTCCCCCAAAAACCCTACTTAAATCAAGGCACAAAAAAGAGCCAAACTTCCTTCTTAGAAAAATCCTGAAGGGAAAATTACAAACCCAAAGAAAATCCTTCGATCATCACCGTCACTAACTTCAGAATACCACTACCCTGGGATCTGCGAGGTAACTGATTGTAGTTTACAACAAAAGCCAAGGTCATATGGTCAATGAGGTCCCCAATATAACCACTACGTATGAGGTTTGAAATACAGTAAACACCCGCTAATAAGAACCTCCTGGCAGAGATCTGTCACTTTAATACCCAAAGCAGGATCTTTTATGTGGGTTATTGCCCCCGCAGGGATTTCGCCCAGAGACGAAATCTCGAGGAGGCGTCCTAGTAACTCGCGCGTATATAAAAGAAGTTATTTAGGGACTGGTCAAAAAGTATAGGCGGGGGTGGGCCGGAGCAGAGAGGGGGTGGGTCATGAGGTTTTGAGCCTTGTGCAAGGGGTGGGTCGTGCAATTTTCAGCTACCATTAGGGGGTGGGTCACCCTATTTTATTACATAGATAGGCACTAACTACTAACGAGACAGTTGACCACACTTGTTATATAAAACACAGCCAGCTGGAGTTATTGCTAAAATACTCACAAACCTGTTGTGCGAGAAAATGCAACGGATGACAGGCCGCACATGCATCTATACGGGCGTGAAACCCTTTGTTATTCTTTTTTTTTTTGGCTCTAACGAGCATGTCCTTTAATGATTTTCCTTTTTTGTAAGGAAATGATTGGTGGTTCCTTAAAAATTTATTGAAGTTATGGTTGGTTTTGTCTAAGATTCCATTTTTATTATTCAAGCTTCCTTTATAGTAGACACTGAGGGTTGGTATTGTGTCACAAATGGCAATATTTCTTTTTCCTCCTTGTATGTTTTGTTTTCGGAGTTTAGACTCGTTTTTGTGAATTTTTTTTCTGATAGTAGGTCTTCTATCAAAGTTTGTGGGTAGCCTCCGTCCATCAAGCCTTTTTTTTTTTCCTCAAAGGTTGTTTCTGAGCAGTTTTTTCGTAGGATTCTCAAGGCTTCTCCTTTGACAAATCCTTTTTTTACACTTGGAGGGTGACACGAGGTGAAATGTGTGTGCAAGAAGGTTTCCGTTTGTTTAAAATGTGTCTTTGCATCAAGGATAGATATTTTCTTGAATCTTGTGCCTTTGTATACAACCGTGTCTAAAAACGCTGCATCTCAGTGTCAAATTTTTCGGCAGTGAATTTAATAGTTGGATGATGTAAGTTTGCTTGTTCAATGAAGGCTTCGATGTCTGGTTTACTCATGTCCCATAGGGAAAAGATATCGTGTATGTAGCATTTCCAAACTGTTGTTCTAAAGACAGTTTTGCTTAGAGTTGTTGTTTCAATATATGTCATGAAAATATTGGCAAAGGAATCAAAACTGCTGTCTTTGTACCCATTGCAGTTCCATGGTTTTCTGGGTAGTGCTTTCCATTGAAGTGGAAGAAAATCTTTTTGAGGATTAATCTAAGAATTTCCGGCAAGTAATGTGTAGGAATGGGTTGTCTTTGTAGAAATTTTCATATGCTTTGTGACAGACAATTTCAATATACCCTCGTTTTTCTGTTTATTTGTGTCAAGACTCATAACGTCCCTAGAAACAAGAAATGTTCGGTTTTTCACATTTGTCTTTTCAGTTAAAGGTATGATTTCTGTGATTTTGATATTGGTTGTAGCAGTGTATCAACAAATTTTGTCAAGCACAGAACAAGGTTAGGCCATCCTCTTTTTCTTTCTCCGCTTACCGTCGTCCGACCGACCCAAATTTTTGGCATTTTCAAAAAAAAAAAGTAACGACGTAGTTACACCATTTTTCACTTGAAATAATTCTTTTAATCTGAAAAATGAGCATAGTAACAGCATAGAGAAAAACAGGAAAAAAAACATGAACATTTTTCACAGTAGATTGTACATTTTGTTAATCCAAATATGTGAATGTTAACTTTTAACGTCGTCCTGGGGTACCAGGGCCTACTATTCCGAGACTTCTTGCGATTTTTTTTTTAGGTTTTTCTTTTCAATCCTACCGACCGACCCAATATCAGGAAACGCATTCGACGGTAAACGCAGAAAGAAAAGGGGCTGGCCTTAGAGGAAACCAAACATCCATATTTTAACTAGGGGGTGGGTCATGCAATTTCCAACCTTGCTTTAGGGGCGGGTCAGTCATTTTTGTGCCGAAGGGAGGGGGTGGGTCATGTGTTTTTTATCAACTACATTTCCAAATGCTCCGGCTCACCCCCCCCCCCCCATACTTTTTGACCAGTCCCTTACAGTTAATAAAAAATGCAGTCAGTATACCAGAAAAAAATTTCAATTTGCCTTAACAGGTGCCACGCGGAATCGTTGGGTAATGATGACGTTTCAATGCTGAACAATGCTCCACGCCCGCAAGTAAGAAATGGTAAGGATGACGTAAAACAGAAAATTCCAAAAAGGGCCGCTTGGATTGATTTTGTGACAGCCATTGTTAAGTCGTAGTTCGATACTCTTATGCGTTAAGCCCCGTGCAAACAAACGCAACATTGTTGGATGTTACATGTTGTGTCCGTTTGCATAACGTTGCTCGCTGTTGTGTGTTGTCAGGAGTTGTCGCGCAAAGTTTGAAACCGGTCAAACGTTTACCTACGTGCAAACGAACGCAACAACTCCCAACATTGTTGGGCCAACAATGTGTGTTCACTGACATTCCGTGGAGCAGCTGTTTTGAAAGCATTAAAGCCAAACTGAAATTTTAATTTCTTTGTCTCCTTACTCTCTTAAACAAGCATCAAAAACTTACACAACACGACTAAGAGAAAATCTCGTGTTTGACCGAAATCATGGACCGAAAGTCGTTACGCCCGGACATAAGTTATATTATTGGTATAACTGTGTATAAGCATTAGGAGAATTTGCCAGAGACGAGTTTATCATTCACAAATCTTTGATTGGAAACAATTTCAATTTCTCAGACACAAGTCACTCTAGGGCCGCAAATGTAAGACTCAGTCCACAAAGCAGAACGATGTCCTGACTTAGCGCATGAAATCTTGCGTTTCCTGCTTTTATCGCACCTATTGTATGTTATATGTGTGAAAATCTTCAGCAGGAATATTTTAATTAAAGCTACCCAAAGACCAAGGCTACAATTGACCGACAACATACAGAGCGGGAGTAGCCAGTTAAGGGCCCGTTTACATTGGAGTTGGGGGACCCCAGATAGGCGAGCTAACATGCGGTGTGTCACCCTACGTACCATGTAAATATGATCGAGTTAACATGAGAGATTATATGAACAGGCGGGTTACCTCACCTACCTGGGGTCCCCCACCTCCATGTAAACAGGCCCTAAGATAAACAATTTAACCAGGGAGTGTAACTTTGACTTGTAAATTTAAGTATGACAAGAAAATACTGTACTAAATTGTATATAAATTCGGTAATATATTTTTCTGGCAATCAACAATCTATTATCTCCTTCCTAAAAATTAAGAACCTACGTAGCCTAAATTTCTAATAAGGACCCCAAAATACACGAACCTATTTTGCCAGAGTTCAAAAAAAGTACTGCGTAGGTTCATATTAGCGGCTGTTTACTGTATTTAGAGTAACACCCCAAAAGGGATTAAATGTGTATTTTATCTACCGAGCACCCCTGTTAGCAAAGGCAAATTACTTACAGGACAATTTTCACAGTAGGTCCCATCATACTTCTCTTTGCATTCACACTTGAAACAGTTCTCTGGATCGTCTTTACACTCGCCTCTTTCGGTACCTCCGCAAATTTCCTGCAAAGTAATATCGTTATTGCAAAGATTGTAGGATAGCTTATTCCAGCCTTTCAGATAGCATGAAGCGCGTTAATCCGAGCCCGGCGAGCGTTAGGGTAAACGAGGGATAAAAACGAGAGGAGATTGGGGCAAACCCCTGCATCAGGCTACTTGCAGGAGTGCATCACACAACAAATTGCTGTAAAGTAAAATGAGTTGACTAGTATACTGCGTGGCTGACGTGCTAGAAAACAGGACGAGCTGGTTCCCCCTTTCCGTACAGGCCTAAGTGCCAGGCAGACTAACGATATGGTTCACTCGAGCGAATGATCCTTAAGGAATTTTACACGACTCAAAATCATAACTTTCCTTCATCAACCAACTACCAAACAACGACAATATTGATTCGTTAAAATTTTTTGTTACGTTCTTATGACGGCAGATAACAGTTTCGAGCTCACTTTAAAATATTTGGAAAGTCTTCGCTCTCAAGATATTTTCGAACGAAATTTTATCTTGCCGTTTGATGCAAACACATTTTAAAAGAGGACTAATTGACGAAGTAAAATCCACGCGCTCTATTACATTGCGAAATGTAAATAAAAAACTACAATCAATATTGCGCGTAACATGTTATTACTTATAGCATGTTATTAATTGGTTTAGTTCTCTCTTCTTAACTTACACAAAGAGAAAAAAATTACTATATCTACTGATTTTAAAGGGTCGGTCGGTGTAGACAAGACAGCGGTACGCCGGGTCTTACTAGTTTCTGCCATCTTATTCCTAAACGGAATTCTCGGCCGGTTAATCAGCTTTTCAGAATGAATTGAAAAACAAGAATAAGCTATTCCATCCTTTCAAACAGGGTTGGTACTACCTGTAGATTATGAAATTCCAGGAGTTTCCAGGAGTTTCCAGGAGTTTTCCAAGGTATAAACAAAAAAATCCAGGATTCCAAAGTTGTAAAAATCACATCAATTTTCTTTAGAACAAGTTACTTACAAAGTGAAAGTGTATGTAGAGAAAAGTTTTCATAACTTTCTCATTCGTTTTTAATCCTACAACTAAGGGCGCTAACTGACCGGCCAGACCATTCCCGTAGTAATGAGAATTTTACTTTTAATCAAAACTATCCGACCAGATCCGTCAAATCCTAAATACTATGCATGAAGGAGATGGTTTTTCAGCAAAAACTCTTGGGAAAAGCCTATTTCATTGTCAAAATGACTGCTCCAGCCATGGTCTGGTCGGCCAGTTCTGACTTTTGGAAAGCGCCCTAAGATTAAATTCAAGGAGTTTTCCAGGATTTAATGCCAAAATTGAATTTTCAAGGAGTTTTCCAGGGTTCTGAAAAAAAAGTTTCAAAAATCCAGGAGTTTTCCAGGAATTCCAGGAGTAGTGCGAACCCTGCTAAAATATCCAGCAATCACCAATAAAAGGAAAGGGGATTCCTTGAACAGAAATTACCATTATACCACTACGTTCATCACATTAATTGTTGCATAATCTCATGTAATAAACTTTTTTCATTGGTTATAAGTTAAAATGAGTTTCTCGCAATGTTTTAAAGTATGTTCCTGGGAAAAAGACAGTATTCAATGCGAGATTCGCTTGTAGGCATGGCTTAACTTCTGTTTCCCCCTCAACTTACGGAATTTGCATCTTTCTGGCATTGTGTCTCTGGTGGGAAGTAAGTGCAGTTCTTTATGTTGCATACATCCCCATAATACTTGTCTTTACATATACATTTACGACAGCGACAAACTCCATGTTCGGGACCTGAAACATTGGATAAACATTTATTTTAATTTTCCTGAACACCGTCTGAATTTCCCTGGTTAATAACAGGTTCATACAATTTAGTGGACCGTCACGTTATGCCTTAAGGTGCAACAGGCGCTTCATCTTACCTAAATGCAAGACAGATCGTTTTAGGAACAGTTTTATTATTAGATCCTGCAGCGATAAGATACGTAGATTTTTAGTCCTTTTATCATATATTTTATACTGTTATATTTACTGTACTTAGTTTTATATAGACATTTTATCAGTTCGATCATTTGTAAATAAGCAATTCAGCTATCGGGCTGCAAAGTATTGGTTATCCGTCCGTCCGTCCGTCCCTCCCCTCCCAGGCAGGATGTGTGGAGATATACACTTATTATTTTTAATACAAATAAAAGACAAAAGGGAAAAATTGGTGGACAACAGTCAGCAACGTCTGTGATCAGGTCCTGATTCAAAGTCAGCACAGCAAAAACCTTCCTCACTCACCTCCACACAGTTCGCCTTGATCTTCAGGGCAAGAGAAGTCATTGCATTGACAAAACTCCCCATAAAATCGCCTTCCCTGCTCCTGTAATTGATATAAACCGAATATCAGGATAAATAATATCATTTCTACATCTCAAAATTCATTCCGCTGGGAGAGAGGATCATGTATTAAGGAATGCACAATCAAATATGCTGTCTTTACGAACTATGGGTGATTAAACTCATTCATGAATAAGCTATGACCACGGCATTTTTTTTCCATTCTCTGATTATTTTTAACAGACTGTGTTATACTTACTGATCTACAAACACATTTTCCACAAACACATTCACCTCTGCCACTACAAGGGAGCTCATCTGAGGAGTTAGTCCTGCAAAGAAAAGACAGCTTGTTGATACAGACACCGACAGAGCATCAACTATCAACAATGAACGAGGAATAATTTATAAAATATTGTGGGTAACAACCATAATAATTTTTTACTATTGCGTTCGAGGTACGAGAACGCAACCCCTAATTTCGGTTGGGTGTTCTGTGCATTATTGGGTGTCCTCTGCAATTAACAAGCGAGGTTCTTACTTCGGCGGAGCTCGAAGTAAAAGATTCGCAACGCTCAGGAATGTATGAAAGTTGACTTTTTTTGACAAGATTGGGCACGCAAAGTCTGTAGGTTTTCGGTTTTATTCGGCTACTTGACGAAGTGAGAGCCGAATTAGTTCGAGATATTTCGAGATCACTTCAATTTCTTCGATTTATTCTTTAACGTTTTCGAGGAAGAAAGGATTATTATTTTGGCTTTCCCGAGGCTTGAACCGACTCACCTCTGTGACCCGTCAGATCAAAGGAGATTCTAAGTTGAGGGATTAGCCGATTGCGCTACTGCGACCCAGGGTAATTCGGGATGTGAAAAACAGTTATGAAATGATGCACTAGTTTCGGGACAAGATTGAACGTGCAGGTTCGTGACTTTTCGGCTTGTTTCGGCTATTTCACGAAATGAGACCGGACTACTTCGTGATATCTTGAGATCAATTCGAGTTTAGTCTTAAATTTACTCGAGGAATAAATAGAGGATATTACGTTGCCACGCAGAGACACGAAATTGCTCTTCGAGTGTTGAAAAACATTTCACGAGTGAGCCCTCTTTTCGAACTGCTGCACAAAGTCATTTTGTCTTTGTTGAGTGTTCCGTAGTGAAATTGCTTTCATGCATTGCGTGACTTTCTCAAACTTTCTCTACGTTTTTGGATTATTCATGAATAATTATTAGGGCATGTTTACATTTCAGCATGAGTCAGCAGATTTGTATCAGTTACTGAAATCATAAAATATGTCGAAAAGCTACTACTATTCGCCTGTTTACTATTTTCTAGAACCTCATGTTAAACGGTACACAAGTTCCAAGCGAGTTCTTTTCACGAACTAAGTTTTTTCCCACGAGCTGGAGAAGTTGGCGGAAGCCGTAAGATACCTGAAGTTCGAGTGAGAGTTTGTTACTATTGGCAGAGGCTATGTAGTTTTACTTAAGCTCAAGTCAAGTTTGTGTTGGCGGATGCTGTGTTTTAAAGCTCTGTAAAGGCTATGTTCCTTTGTGTTCCTTTGTGTTAATCCGACATCCCTTCGTGCTGATAGTCAGTGAATAATTATCCTCAAAACATTCGAACTCGTAACATTGAGTTTTAGCCAATTCCATGCTCAACGTAATTGACTCCTTACCTATGCCTTACATATCTTTAATCAGTGCATGAGACTGCTATGCTGTTTTTGAAGCCTGATGTGACTAAGAAAAATAGAGAAGTCTTTTTTCACTGTTTGTTTTGTTAGACTTGTTATTCACCGTCAGTAACCTCATATTTGACTTAGGTCTAAACTTTTGGCCCAAGTCAAATTTAGAAGGATTTGTATGGAGTCATCAGAGCATAACTGAGCTAGTATCTCAGAGACAATTTGTCCCGAAATGCTAGTTTTTGGTAAGTAAGCCTCTTGGATGTTGCTCTTTTCAGAATATCCTGACAAATCCCATAATTTCACAAATTAACACCTTACTCTTACCATATTTCATTTCCTACTATTCCTCCGCATTTATAATTAATCAGTTCCACAACCACGACGCCGAAGTGTACGCTCCGTAGCGTCTTGTGCCATTTGTGTCGACACACATTTGCCTCGCTTTGAGGCGCTGGCTTACGTTTTGCCTCATTTTGACGCACTAACTCACATGGTGATTCGTGTGTCCTCGGCGTTCATCTTTCAACTGCTATTCTGTCTTCGTAAAGCGTTCATCTTTTAAAAGTTTGCTGAATCTTCGTAAAGCGAACATATTTTAAGAGTTTACTGTAAGTTTACTATCGATCTGTGTTTCCTGAATCTTCCAAAATGTTCATTGTTCAAAAGTTTCGGCGGTCGTCGGTGCCACAAAGTAAATCTACCGAGTTGTGTAGCTCGGCGGCCGTTGTGCCACAAAATAAATCTACCGAGATGTGAAGCTTGGTAGCGCCATTTCATCATGACTTGTGATATTTTCGGCACCGGACAAACGAACACTTTAGGTATATGGTATTTATTTGGATTGAATGATATACCTTGGAATCGACTGGTGATCCAACGAGCCACTTCAATTAGAATAGCTAGAAAAGTGGCTCTGTGCCAAACTTATAAACAGCCGACAGGAGCTCCACTCAACACACTCGACAAAATTACTGCACTTGTTGAGACGAACCATACTATATCACTAGCTTTCAAGACTCTTTCATAGTGATACACAGTTTAAATAGAAGTTTCGCTGTAAGCAGTCCTTACGTTTAAAATATATACCATGATCAAATTGCTAGCTGTACGCCTAACAAGCATATTGAACGCACTCTCCTAAGCTTCGATTACTACTAGTAGTTACCTGCCAATTGTATACAGACAACACTTAAACAATGTTTTATACTTTGGTTACTCCCTTTATCCGGGTTCACTGGGGCTACGTCATATTATTTGCTATCTTTTTATTGCAGAAAATATTTAGGCGTTGAAACTGTTTGCTGTTGTTTGTTAAAAGACCAGGAGGGAAGGATAGCAGACCCTCTTACGATTCTATTAATGAACTGTTATTTGAAAAATTAATCCGTTAGTTGTTCCGGTAACTAGTGTCAAATTCAAATCGGCATTACTGCATGCGTAAAGAGCTGTGAAAATTCTACGAGAACTTCTCTGTATTTGGTCAGACTGAAATCTTTAAATGGGTTAAATTTCATAGAAGACATTTACATCAAATTCAGGGAAACTTAGCTGGTAGAAATTTCGCAACTGACTCGCGTGTGAATTCACGGCTCATTACGCATGCAAGAATGCAGAAATGAATCGACATGAATCTGAAATCTACAACTACCAACGGATTCAACTTTCGAATAATAAATTCATTAATGTAATCTTAGGGGGTACGCTTGACTTGACTTAACTTTAAAACTTCATAACTCTACAGGAGCATTTCATTTGTGTATGTATGTTACTAAGTAATGACTTTCGCACATAATAGACCAAAAACAGCAATATCCTTGTGACATAGCCTGGTTCGCATTTTCAAGCTGTTTGTTTAGATTTTTTTTTTTTAACATTTAATTACCTTAGCGCCGACACCTCCACTTTGCGCGACGCGGGAAAAATCGGTCAGGTGAGTGGTTATTTAAAAGCAAGATATTCGTTATGCAACCTACCGATCAAGCATCGAAGTTTCGAAGCTGCCTTACTAGCTATAGCCGCAACACAAATTGGAAGTCAATATTTGCTTGTCATCGGTTCAACTGAAACTGATTTGTATAGTAACCCTTTATGTAATATTAATTTAATTTTCAGTTGCCTACTGCGACGACACATTCGGACGCCACCATATTCCACCTTGTACCGTCAAGTGCAGATAAATTCCAAGAGCTTGAAACTCTCAATCGTCAGCTAGGAGCGAAAGATAGCCTCTTCAATAGCCCATGGTTTACAAATTTTATTGATGAGTGGAGTTAGTGTGACTTCTGCTTCACAAATTTTGGAGACATTTTGGAATAACTGGGGTCAAGTATCACAACGAAAAAAGCCATTTCAGACTTTCCAGCACGTGGCCCTGGTATGGATACAATATCGTGAGGGATACACAAAGTAGCTGTAGCGGTCCGCTGACTAAGGGAAAAGCCCTGGGACGAGGTTGCAAAGCCATGATGGCGGTCACCGAGTAAGCTTTGATCGTAATTTACCCTCTTCCTGTTTTGTCGTGCAGTATAATTCTTAAATGTTTTAATTAAGGTTTACAACGTTCACAATTAACGTAAATTGTATTTGTTGTGAAAACGGTAAGGACAAAACTGTGTTTGTTACCGAAAATTTCTGTAGTCGAAGTGGCTCCCTGTTTGTTACCGAAAATCTTTAGAGTCGAAGTGACTCCCTCCGTAACCTCAGTGGAGTCATCTGAACAATTTTGGTGTAAAATACGCCAAATTTTGCGTATTTGCGAACCTCGAATAGCTTTGAGAACCTACTATATCATTTTTCCTGGCACACTGACAAATGTCCCTTAGTTAGCATAGGCACGATACATGTCAGGAAAATGGACAAGCAAAACAGTACCCACCTCTTGCATTTTGATAGATCTGTTTTCTCAAATGGTGTGTTACACTGGCAGAGTTCTCCAAATCTGTTTCAGAAAGATAGATATGTTGTAAATTATGAACTAGCTGGTTAAAGCACTGACCAAGCTGAGAAGTCATATGCACAGGGTCACCACTCTCACCTTCCTTGGTTGCATTCACATATTCCACAACTCAATGTGCCATTTCCATTGCAAATTTTGCTGTTATTTTGCTAAAATAAGGTCGAATAATAAAACTTAACTCACATACACCTAACCAGCAAACATTAAATGTAGGAAAAAAAATTTTGCAGATAGCAGCCAAAGAACTTGTAGTTCAACATACCTTCATGCTAGGTTGTTCACACTGACATTCACATATAAAACTCAAATCCAACGTTACAGATCCAAACCCTGGCACTGAAATTTTGAGGCTATAAAAACAACACACTCACCATTAACAAACACAATAAGTTTCCATTGCACAGTCTATAGCCTGAAGTGCCGCTGTTTTCTGTGAGGCATATGGGCACTGGGGTTCAATCAGGTTATGGCAACTGCACCGCATGCTTAAAATTGTCGGGTGGTAACTCATGTATCATGTAGGGAGTGTTAAATACCATTAATATGCAGATCTTATCATGACATTTTGACTAGGACTTTGTTTACCTTTTTTGCCTCTCAGCCTCTGATTCAGGACACTCATCTAACTTCACAGAGATATCAAAAGTAACCTGCGTTGAAGAAACAATAATATTACCAGTTAGGAAAGGCAGACTATCTTTCCCTCAGTTATTACCAACAGTACATTTCAAAGTTTCACAGTCGCTTTTCTTGTCCTTTTGCTGAGCATTTACTAGGCTACATTTCGATGGGAAAAGGTTTTTGGGAAGCTTATAGAATCTCATGGTCTGAAGATCTTTTTTCCCTGCACAAAGTGGATGACGAAGTTGTGCTTGACTGCACAAACTGATGACGTCACATGCGGTACAAGGGATGCGGATCTGCACACGCACGGTTTATGTGCACTTCCAAGGTAATGGCTCAAAGCATCATGTTGGCTCAAAATTGTTGGATTTTATCCTTCGTTTGTTTTTGTTAGTCTCTAGCTGCTACATGGTAAGAAACATCTTTGTATTTAAAATTTCACTTAAAAACGTTTTCATATTAAGCATTACGACAGGAAAGGTTTAGTTAGCCTTCTTACCATGTGGTATCAACAAGAGGTCTAAGGTGCTAGGACTTCAACAAATCCAGGGCACAGTTGTTGAAAGGCCGATTAGTATTAACCTGAGGTTGAATTTTAATCTGGGTATCTTTTATTTTACTCGAAAGTATTTTCTCGGATAATCTTCTCTATTCTTCAAGATCATCCAATCATCATATTGTAGACAAAAAGAATTACAGCGAAATTCGTTGTATCGCGCTGCGCGTTTTGCAAACTTCGAAGGGATTTTGGGTTTTTCTGTTCCGTCAATCATTTTAGTGAAGGCGGGGTTAATGCAAATCACAATGTAACATGCTCGCCAAGCTTGGCTGAGAATGACTCTAGATTGTTCAAGAATAGCGAAGGAAATCGCAATGGTGAGTACATTTTTTGTCGCACGTAGTAGGCAGACGTTGCTTTATTCTTGCAAGTGACAAGAATAAGAAAGATCAGGATTATCTGCGAAGCAAACTTAACTATTCGATTATTCCCCAAAACAGGGCGATCACAAAGCAACGAACCTTGAAACACGAAACAAACAAAACGGATCGAAATCCACCAATCACGAATCACAAACCATGACCTTTTGAACCTGAACAAGTTTACATGTGCTTCCTACGAGGCCCGCTAAGATGATTGACGGAACAGAAAAACCCAAAAATCCTTCGAAGTCTGCAAAACGCACAGCGCGAATCAATTTACTTTTTAAGCTTTCAAATCTGAATTCAAATTTTGCACTAACCCTGGGTTATCTTGACCCAGCTTTGAACAACTCGGCCCTGATTAGAATCCAATTTAGGACTTTTGATATGTTGTAAAGCAAGAGTTGCTAAGTGTAAAACTTCTCCACCACGGCCACCTTGGGGACAGAAGAAAGGTGGCCGTTGTCGGCCGGGAGGAAGGGATCTAATTTCAAAAAAAAATTATAAATACTTGTTGATGCACTTGGTTACAGGTTCACCATTTTCATCCATAAAATGACTGACACAAGAGCTTACCGTCTGCCCCAGTTTGACATTGGAACACTTCGGGCTCTGAATACTCACTGAACTACCTCTAAAAGACATAATTTAAAAACTCCCTCAATGTATTGGACATAAAAATAAAAGAGAATGCACCTAAGTTTGCAAATGGTAGCCCCTTTTTGTTAGTAACAGTTTCAGAGAGACGAATAGTAATTTAAAGCATGTGTTCAGACAAAAATGGCAATCAGTGCACATGTATGATTAGTATGCTCTTCATTTCTGGAGTGCCTGGAAAAATACACTGCAAGCAAGGTTGAGAACCAACATCAAGCTGAACTGACCTACCATCTTACAAAACGATAGCATATAAACATTTTCCATTAACAGAAACTCCATAATCCAAACCCAGCCCTGGGGATTGTTTTTGACTTTGAAAACAATAGCTGCACTTTTATATTGCACTTGTAAAAGTATTATTATTAAGACTGAATCCATCAGAAAATTGGAAAATTTCAACTTCCAGTGGACAAAAACCTTGTACCAGAATAATATTGTTTAAATTATTTAAAAAATACCGCATTCCTTTTTACACCTTTCAAGGGCTACAGATATAGTATATTATCATTCGATGCAAATTTTTCTTCCTTTTCATTGGCTGAAAACCCACCACGTGAACTTCAAATAACTGCCTACAAATAATGGTCTGATCATGCGCAATGTCATCCAACTGTGTTTGGCTGCAAATAACATTCTGCTCATGCGTAAACGAAACCACGCGTGATATCGTGAAAAAAGGCAGATCGTTTCGCTTCCCAAAGATATTCATAAAAAATAAACTTGGTGATCGAATGATAACACTGAAGGCTATTTCTCATGGGAGCCGGAGAAAATAAATGTCAAATTTCACAAGAACTATGAAAACACGGGTAAAATTCTGAAAATTTCATGTGTAAGATGTCATTTTGTGAAATTTGACAATCGTTTTCTCTGGCTTCCAAGAAATTTTCTTTGGTGTTATTACAGATAACTAATTACATCTATAGCCCTTGAAAAATGTAAAAAGGAATGTGATATTGTTTAAATAAAGGTTTTTGTCCACTGAAAATTAAAATTACTCAATTTCCTAACGGCTTCCGTCTTAAATTGACCCCTGCTGAGTGTCGTGTATTCCACAGAGAAATTGTTAGGGACTTGATTAAGATTGTAGAACTAATTAATTTTATTTTCAGTCAAAAGCGAGACATAAGTACAATACCACATACAGAAATCTAACACTTGGTCTGGATAATCAAAGTTCCACTGTACTCATGTTTGAATTCAAGACGTCTATTTTTCTTGGTCAATGAAAACCAGGTCAAACATTCACCAAACTGTTGAGAGAAATTCAGCCAAAACACCCAGAAAAAGCTGTTGGAGTGACAGAAAATGTCTTTTCTTTACTCACCCACACTTAGCTTTAACAGTAACTGACACTTTCTCTGGTGCTTTGTACTCAAGGCGGACTGTAGACACAATTTCCTGCACAGGGAAATAAAAAACAATATTATTCCCATGGTTTGTGGTTCATTTTATCTCACACTATTCAAATTACAGATGACTGAAAATCGCATGACGCTGCAGAGGTCTACCTAATTGCTCTTCAATTTCATTTTCTTCCTCCACTGAATCGGAGCCGCACAAAGATCCAGCTTCATTAATCAATTGGTTGTTGTTGTTGTTGTTGTTGTTGTTCAATGGAAAGCCGCGCCGCGTTGTAGGATTCACTTGAGGTTCGTTAAGGTCCGTTATGGACTTACCAAAGTTTTAAGACGTGTAAAAGCTCTTCAAATACGAAAAACAAATCTTCTAATGGTTTTGAAAACTTACTCCTGCAAGGACTTACCAGCCATTCTGCAAATTTTTTAGGTAAACTTTGTTGTTATTGTTGTTGCATAATCAGCTCGACGTACAGAAGAATTTAGCTTATATAAAATTTCTTTACATAATGTGAATTTGTAAGGAAACTTTGGAGTACCATGAAATAATTTCAAACCAAAGTTTGTGGCGGTAGAAAGCTCGCAAAATCTACTGTTTTCTGCTGCTTTGCCCGAGAGAAATTTTGTTGTTTTCCATACAAGGACAAACTAAGGTACATGAGCTGATAACCGAGATTGAGTGAACCAATCAGAATGCTAGAAATGCATTATCCGAGGTTGAAAATTTAATAAAACTCAATAATTATTATTATTATTATTATTATTATATAATTTCCAAGCTCGGTGGCCCAGCTGTTTATTCACGAGGAAACTGAAAAAATGGCATGTGGCTGTCCGAAGACACAATAGCCGAACCTCTGACTAAAACTGAACGGAAGGAAAGAGGCAGGTACAAAAGTCGGACCGGATCAACTCGGATCGACTCGGATCGAATAAAAAAATAAAAATAAAACAAAATTGGACTCGGATCAACTCGGAGCAATCAAAAAAATTAAATTAAATCAGAAAAACTGAAAGTTTAACCCATTTGGAGAGTAAAAAAGGCCAGATCATCCTTTTTGTCTCCGTGGCTATCAGGCGCCATTTTGTTTTACTAGTGCCAGTTCCTCTTGGATCATGTTATAAACTCGTGGTTGTTTGTGGTTGCGTTACACGACGCGCTCTGCTTCACAGATATGGATGACCTCGAGGAAGGTAAAATCTCGACCATCTTTCTCAATGAATTTGCTTCATTCCAAGAAAATGATAGTTTCAGTCGCCTAGAATACATATTTGCTTATTTTTTTATTTTATTGCAGCTAAAGAAGTCGAGGTGAACGTGATCATAAGTTATGCGCATAATTTTTGATTAATAAGTGTACCGAATTATTTATGAGAAAAGCATCAAAAGCCTGGTCTCTGTGGTCTGTTGATCGCATTTAGATAGTTTAATACCAAAGAGTGTTTGTTTGTTTGTTCCTGTTTGTTTTTTTTCTGCAAGACTTCTGAAACTTAGTTTTAATGATACACTAGTGATACAGATACATTTCCAGTGAACATTTTCAACTTGGAAGGAGGAGAAACCATGCTCGCCCGGGACAAAGGAAATTTCCATGCCCCGGGCAAGAATGGAACTCGCGACCCTCCGGTTCAGTGGTTGGAACGTCCGATAAACACGTATTATCCCTTCAAAATATTTCCCCGATTCTGATTGGCTAAAAGTACACGTTTAATTCAACCTCGTTCCCAGGGTCTCTCATCTTCCCGCCCAAGCTCCCTTGGGCGGGAAGATGAGAGACCCTGGGAACGAGGTTGCGTTTAATTCACCATAACCAGTTACTGATGACCAAATTTGGAAGAATTTTGACTTTAACGAAGAAATGACGTCAAAAATGCAGCGTTTTCGCAGGTTAAGGCACCGTTAACCGAGAAGACCTGGGGACGAGGTTGAGTTGTTTTGGTTGTGAACTTGAAAAAATGGCGGACATTTCACTCGTTTCAAGAGTAAGAACTAGGCGAAAAAATGGCTAAAAGCATGGCCAGAACAGCAAGAAGACAACTCAAAGGGCGCCATCTGCTATTTGGAGAATATTTGCGTAGCTGGACAAACCTAAACGTACACTATCGAAGATTAACTGAACATCGATGGATCGATGGAGGTAAGGATGCTTTAGATATGTTTTTAAACTAGGAATTATTTTGAATGAATAATGAAACAGTTATTGAATTCGGCTTTCGTATCATATGAAGAATTATGGAGATCTCGGAGGGTGTTATCCACCTTGGCCTACGGCCTCGACGGATAACACCCTCCTCGATCTCCATAATTCTTCATAAGATACTCAGCCTCATTCATTAACTGTTAAGTATTCGGAGGGTCGTTAGTCTGCTACACAGCCCTTTTTAGTGTCGTCACGCAACGCTCCTCCCCTGCGATCATTCATTAGCCATGCCTCAGGTGAGCCGCAGACAATAGAATATTCTCCCTTCTCAATCTTTGTAACGTCTAACTCCTCTTGTGAACTGATACTTATTGCAGACAATCCAAGATCTGTTAGAATTTTAACCTGATCGTCCATGAGGCTTACCAATGGCGACACAACTACAACAATGTGACCTGCACTCTTGTTTACATGGTCAAACACGAACGGGAGAGCTTGATAAATAAGCGATTTTCCGAACCCAGTCGGCAAGTTTACAAAGACATCCTTCTTATCGACCACAATTGCTTGAATTGCCCGCTTTTGTTGCGCATTTAGTTCCAAAATCTTAAATAAGGAAGCCACTCGAATGAATGCTTCCTCTAGCGCGGCCATTTTGCTTTGCTTTGTCCACATTTAGGGTACCGATAAAAGCAAGGCTGTGATTGGATGAAACTTCTGGCGCAAACACTTTCCAGAAAATGGGAACTGAATTCTAATTGGCTAACCTCGGGAAAGGAATGTGGTTCGGCTTTCAGCAGCCGTTTGTGGGGAGGAGCGTTGCGTGACGACACGAGTTCGTGAGAAAAAAACAAAATGACGGGTGAAAGTTAAGTGATACCGACTGATTTTATTTTTCTTTTTATAATCCGATCTGGTTTTTTTTAATGATCCGAGTCCAATTTTATTTTATTTTTATTTTTTTATTCGATCCGAGTTGGTCCGAGTCGATCCGAGTTGATCCGACCCGGACTGGCGGTCCGAGTTGATCCGGTCCGACTTTTGTACCTGCCTGAAGGAAAGCAATCATACGCAAAACATATTGCTTGATGGAATATATCTTATCTACTTTTTCAAAAGTATCTGCAAAAAAAACCTACGGTTTTATCCTGAAATTGTGGCAAAAAAGAGGCCAAAGTTTAGACGAAAGTCTACGAAGAGGTAAGCTTGTTAAGAACTTTAAAATATTTTGAATGAATAATAAAACAATTATTGAATTTAGCTTTCGCGTGTTGTGACGAATTATGCAGATCTCAGTTGATGTTATCTTGCCTCGATCTGCATTATTCTTCACATCCTACACAGCTTCATTCAATAATTGCTCAATATATTATGACAAAGTGTGTAGAGACTACTGGTTTTAAATACTATGCCAGATACAGAGTAACTGCTGGATTTGACCATTATGGTGGTCAGTAGAGTAACAAGAGCAAGCAAACATGCACTTGGATTTTAAATTGATTCATGCTTTCAACTAATTTTGTCACTCATCTTGCAGTCTTCAGTTTTGAAATAGACTCTTTCTGGAAATTACAAATGATAAAGTTGAAACTTTCAGACAGACCCATAGGAATACTGTGTCTAATTTCACTTGCCCACTGGGCCACTAGACTTCTATTTTTACTTGCCCAAGATCGCAATTTACTTGCGCCAGGCAATTGGACCTGGACTTTTTCCTACCCTGAATGAAGATAATACAGTATAATTTTGGGGGAATTTATGCCGCGTTGATCAAGTTAAACAACAGCTGGAAGTTTATCAAGTACCATACCTCATATTTACTTGCAATAAGAGAAACAACATTTAAAGAATTGTCATCAAGTTTTCCAGCCACAGCTCCCACATCACTCCACATAGTGCTCAAACTCTACACAATTAAAAACCAACTTGAATAAAATATTATCCATCAAGACGATTCCAAGAACAGCAAGTTGTGTCTCACACCCAGCCACCACACAAAAGGTGGAGATAAAGAAATTGAAAAGAAATTAAGATGATTGAGTGTGTTAACAAACATACACAGTCACAATGAAAGGCAGTGTAATAATTATTGCTTTGTGAATTTGCTATGTTGTTTAGGGGTTCTAAAAGGAACCCATCCTTAAATACTGTATTTACGTTATTAAATATCACGGTTTTATTAAGTTTTTAGCATCTCTGATGCCGTGTTTATTCAAGGGTGGCATTTATTTAAAAAAAACACGTAAATCACTTGTTTGTTAATATTATGTTAAGTAGCAATATAGTTAAAGTTTCAAACTGTAAATCATCAAAAGCACAACATTCTAAACATATAAACATAACACAACATAATAAATTTTTAAAATATAAATAAAATATAAATGAAAATAAAATAAATAATAAGATGGCTACCTGATAAAGATCACTAACGGGTTCTGTCACTGCAAATATTGGTAGAATATTGCTATCCCGAAGTTTCTCATGAAGTTGTGCAAGGGAGGGATAATCCTGCAAGAGGGACAAAGCAATATCAAGTCACATACATATCAGTCATGCACCGGGTGCCGTCTTACATTGTGATTTAGCTACAGCACCATCAATGATTTCTTCATGAGGAGCTCTTCAACAAAACTCTCAGCATCTTTCTCAGAGGCTAAATAAATTATGAATACATGCAACCATAACAAATTACTGCTACTCCATCCAAAGCAGATACCTTCAGAAAAATTTTTTATAGCACGCAAAAAAATAGCTTGGTAGGATTTACAAACACGGCAGATAAAAATAATCATGATTTCATGTTGTTAAGGTAGATATGAACTGTCTAACATCTCTTCATATTAAATTAATGCTTTTTTTTGTTAGTGTGGTTTAACTATACCTGCTCATTAGATTTGTCATATTCTCCATTTGAATTAAGGTGGCATTCTCCATCATTTGGAGTGACAATACCCCCAAGCTAATAAAAGAATATAAAAAGAATATCATGCATAACAAGACAATGTTGATCGCAATCACTCTGATCATGGCTGAAGACAGACCGGCAGTGGCTGCCCAACTAAAGATTTGACTTCACATTTTTCACTATGTAGATTTGACATTCAACACAACTGGTGCAGCACTCTTCAGATAAAATTTCCTAATGCTCAATTATATATTATCTTTTACAGAAAAAGGAAAATGTGGTTACCATAGAACAGGGATGAAAATTAACTTTAGTGCTCGGTGGCCAGCCGGGCCAGGTGGCCAGCCGGGCCAGTTAATTTGATTTCTAAGTTGCCCAGGTCAAAATTAAGTGGCCCTCAACTTCCACTATATTTCCAGGAATGTATGTTTAACGGACTTTAACGGTAAAAGAACTAAAAAAAAAAATGTGCACTGAAATTTATTACAGTGGAACCTTAAATTAACGAACCTCTAAAAAATGAAGTCCTCAGTATAACGGACGATTTTCTTCAGCCTGGCCGAAATTACAATAAAATGTATGGAAGAGAACCTCAATATAATGAAATCCTCATTATAACGAACACATTCCAGAAATGCAAACGTACAATATATCTCGATCGATACAATGAATAAATGTCAACATGTGACCGAAAGACAGCTAAAGATGAATGTGAAACAGACCAGCAAGGATAAAATTTATGTGTATAGTACTTTTAAGCAAGTTTGTTTGCCTGTTCTTGTGTTTCTAGTGCCATAGCTATGAACAGCTCTGAACTGAGACAATAGCTTTGTATACACATGTTTATTACAGAAATTGTTCAGATCCAAAAATGCTGGGTGTTGGAAATTAACAAACATTTTACTTTTTTTTCACAAAAATTTGTTAAATCGAGGTTTTAGATATAATGAACCCTCGATATCACCGACAAATTTTCCTAGTAGGTAAATACTGTATTCAGTGTTCTCCATAAAAAAGAGCAGCCACATTGACAATGAAATTTAGCTTGCTCATCCAAACAAGTTTTACTGGTATTTGTGGACTAGCATATCAACCAAATATTCATCTAGCTGCTTTGAAATGTTCATGACCTTTTGTTTTTTCATAATTTCTGTTGGATTCTGGCCCATCGTCATTATTCCTTGTTTTCTTTCTTGGAGGCCGTTCACAAGCAGGGAGCCGAGAAAGTCCACAACATCGTCCTTTCCCAGCAGAAAATATACATATAAATGCCACTGGTGACTTGGCGACCACCATGTTGCAGCCCTTCATGGAATCAATGCTGTTTCTGTGGATTCTATTGCATGAGAGTGGATTTGGAACATGCTTTTAGACTCTGCCCTGTCTGCCCGGAGGACCGCAAACTACTTGGCATCCACTGGCAGGGCAACTTTTACATCGATCACCGCCTCCCCTTCGGTTTGCAATCCTCCCCTTCCTCTTCAATCGCTTAGCCGATGCCTTTCAGTGGCTCCTGAAGACCAACTATCACATTCAGGACCTCATGCATTATCTCGATGACTATTTTATGGTTGGCCCTTCCAAATTTATGCCATCTAATATTGATCTCTCTACCACCGCACACCTCCCACACCACCATGTCACCATGAACTGCGAAGCCCATAGCGACATCGATCGGTGGCTACAGTTTCTTCTCCCTTGGAGCAGGCATGCCATCATCCCAGACCCCCATGGGACGAGAGCACCAAATTTGGAGCTTTTCACTGACGCTTCTGGAAGTATTGGCTATGGCATCTTCTATGCAGGTCATTGGACTGCTGACCCCTAGCCTCCAGAATCGATCAATCCAATGGAAAGAGCTTTACCCCAACGTTCTCTCATGTCTCCTCTGGGGTGATCAGTGGTCTGAAGTGAAGCTCCTTTTCACTGCGACAATCAAGCAGTAGTGGACATTTGGGCATCAGGCTCTTCCCGAGACCCCCTTGACATGCACCTTGCAGACTCAACCCGCCGCTCCTACCAGGCTGGCATTCGTAGATACTCTGGCTTCTGTGCCTCCAGAGGATGGCAAAGTTTCCCGGCCACTTAGACCACACTACACTTCTTTGCCCCCTTCTTGGCTGACCAAGACTTCTACAAGACCATAAAGTTATACATGACTGGCCTCTGTTTTATATACACTGAAAACAGCATACTGAACCCCTTCTCCTCAGCACCGCACCTTCATCTCTTTCTGTGTGGAATCAAGCACACCATGGGGCTCACATCTCATCAGCACCTCCCTGTAACCATGTCCCTTCTTCGGCAGATTAAGGAGGAGGTATCTCATGCACCTGATTTCCAGCAATCTGATAAACTGATGCTGTGGTCTGCCCTTACATTAGCCTTCTACAACTTCCAGCAGTCTAGTGAATTCACCTCACCTTCAGCATCAGAATTCAATCCCCTAGTGCACCTTTCCGCCACTGACGTCTCCTTCACTTCAAATGGGTGCCTTGGATTGCATCTCAAGTAAACCACGACTGACCCTTATCATTCGGGCTGTTCATTATTGACTGCCCCCTCACATCGTTCAGTCTGTGCTATCCGTGCACTCAGAAAGTACCTTGCTTTGCATCCAACTGGCAGTGCATCTCCTCTTTACGTCTGGCAGCCACCTTACCAGAGCCAAAGTTACTGGTGTTCCTTGCACCCAGCATCTTGGTTTCCCAACATAACTGTATGTGTCCCACAGTTTTAGAATCAATACAGCCACCTCAGCAGCTGAAGCTGGGCTTCCCCCTTGGCTGATCCAAACACTCCAACGGTGGTCAAGCAACTGCTTCACCATTTATATTAGAACTCTGCCTTCTGTTCTCCAGAAGGTTCCAAGTCGCTCGGCTGCCACAAACACCTCAGGTCAATGAGCCTGGACCCCTCTACAAGGACATTGCACTCCTAGTTTTCCATAGTCTGTTAGTTCACAAGGCAGTAATTGGGATGTAATTGGGTGCACACCTGCCACTCTTACCACTGCGTAGCAGGCTGGGTGGGACCCCCACCCCACGCCTTAGGTTACTCACTTGCATTGCCTCCTTTATTACTACGTAGGGTGTGTCGCTGCCACCCTTATTCTATTGCATATTACTGCAAGGGTGTGTCACTGCCACCCTCATTGCATTACCCAGTTTAGGGTGTGTTGCTGCCACCTTAATTGCATGCACCAATGGGTGCCACCCTCACTTTACCTCAGGTTGCACTCAACAACCTTTAGTCCTATTTACTACCAAAGATTAGTGGTTGCATGTTTTCTTTGTTAAAGTTTTAAGTTTGTGACATATGTTGTTTCTGATGTCTCTGTTCATCCTGACAATTTTAATTCAGATCATCTTCTGGTATCTTTTCCTATTAATGCAAAATTCAAACATCAAAAGAAAGTGAATAGGGAAGTCTTAATTGTTACAAGAAAGCAGACTTTGATGGTCTCAGGAGTACATTAAACCATATCCCCTGGGACTCTGTGATTTCACTCAGTCTCACATTGGTGAGATCGCAAGTGGAATGTGGATCAGTTGTGTGGTCGCCATACGGCGCAAGAAACATTGACAAGCTTGAGTGCATACAGCGGAGGGGAGCAAAATTTATTCTCGGAAAAAGGAATTTTACCTGTGACCAGGGCCTAAAATGTCTTAGTTTGCTTTCGCTTGAAAAGAGACACTATCTTTTTGATGTCACATTTTTGTATAAGGCTTTAAATGGATACTTGAATGTGGATGTATCTGAACTTTTACTCTCAGGATGACCCATACAGGTTTAGACATGTTGATGACTATTCCTTGAGGACAAATTTTGCTAGAACGACTAACTTTAAATACACTTATTTTAATAGAATTATTGTTGAAATGTGGAATTCAATACCCTTAGATATTAGATTATCACCTAGTCTTGCAGTTTGTAAGTCAGGAATGAAGACAGTTTTTAATGTTTTTATTATTTTGATTTAATATTTTTCTGATTGTTATTACATATTTATTTATTTAGATTAGCTACATCATAGGTGATCTGTCTAGCATGGAGTGTTCCACTCCTTTACAGATTATCCTTCAGGCTTTGTTTGTGTGTACAAACAAAGCCATTTAGATTTATTTGCCATTATGTCAAGAGTGACTCATTCTGCTTAAAGATACTTTTCCGTCAAGCATAAATTGCACCTATTTGAAGAGAGGTTATATGCAATAGCTCGCTGATCAAAATCTTCCAAATTTATCCAAAAATTTGTTTCAGTATCTTTCAGATTCCATTATGTTTGCTGAGCTGTGTGTTTACTGAGGAGGTTTACTCTACCAAGTAAAATGATAGTTTCTCTTGACATTATTCCTGTTGACACATATTTTCAAATCCACTATTGAAACAAAAATAGAATCTATGGAGACAGCATTAAATCTATACAGCCTGAACAAGAAAATAAATTTAAGGCAACAAATATGTACACTTTATCAAAACAATGACTTCTGGTTTTGGTGCATAACCTTTACTAAGTAAAAGCCGGGTCCCAAAATTTACACACTGGATACAGCACACCATGTCACAAGTTTCTAGTTGATCTTTTCCATACTATACATTGCATAATCATAGTCTGTGGTATATAGTCTAGAAAAAAATACTAACCTTTCCATCTCCAGCAATGTGGAATGTATCATCAGAAACAAAGACAACAAGCCGGCGTGAGGTTTCACGTGTACGCCAGCCAATTTTCTGCAGGACCACAAAACTAACTCAGGTTTATGGTAAAATTAAGTATTGCTTAATATTTTACATATTATCCTGTCAATGTAATCAGATCTCAAGACACTATAGCAGAGACCTACTTAAATACAACTTTGATTCTCAACAAATTGTGACACACTCTGCCTCACTTTCATGCTGTTCAACAACAGAAATATGGCCATATATAAATGCTACACTGGCTCAGCAATGTGCTCTTAATAACAAGATCAAGCTTCTCACTATATTAATAGCAGAGTATTTTTCTCTATCCATTTTTGCTACCTTACTAGAAGGTTTTTCAAAACATTGGGATGTTTAGATTGATTGTGACGACTGTTCCTAAAGCAAGTAATTTACTAAGGAAGATTAAAAGCTGCTAGGAGCCACTAATTCAAAGCTAATAGTTTAAGGGAAAGCCAGTAACTTCACTCAGAAATCAATAATAATTTGGCGCAACACTGATTTGCCAGGATTAAATTATGTCAATTTATCAGATGTTAGTATACCCTTGAATTTGAAAAGTGAGGGCCTAACTCCAGAAAATCTGACCAAATCATATTTCATGCTGAAAAGTTGTTTTATATTTCAGGTGTCCACATTTAAGGCAATATTTTGTTAGGCCTGCAGCCACTTTGCTTTAGTCTTTACCTACTTTGATCTTATTGTCCATATTCAAATTATCCAAGTATATAACGAGCGGTTAATTAAAGTGATCAAGTCATCGTTTCTACTGATAGTGAAGGAAAAGTGCATCAGTCGGTTAAGACAGGAAGGAGTGAATACAGTGCACCCCTACATCCACACTTGTTAATGTTTCCTTATTTAATAACACAGAGACAAAGTTAAATGACCGTAAAGCTGGCATTTGCAGTACGAGTAAGTTGAGAGTAATACTGTCTAAAACTCAGTCACACTATACACATCATAAGCATTACAATTTGATGTGTTTCCCACATTTTACATTCAACACAGGACTCATCATATCATGCACTCACCTTTTCACAGACTGCCACTTGCATTAAAGCATCAAATCCTCCTTCAGGTACATCAAGGTTACCAGAAATGTTCTGTTCCTTAACACTATCCTGTAGATAAAGCACCCAAAGTCATTGCAAGATTTAACAGCAAAATTCAAAAAGAATATTAACCAAATTTCTCCCTCAAATATAGAAGGTGAGTGTCTGGGGTATCCCAGGGCTTCCAGTCTGTCCAGCCAACCTCTAGAAAAAGAACAGTACCCACAGTTGGCAAATCCCCATAACCCAGCCACAAGCCCCATTCCAGGAACATTCAAACTTAAAGAACAACTACGCTCTTAAAAGCGTTAAGTCGAGCTTTCTTGGAGAGTAGATAAGAAATGATGAGGCAATTAATTTTACATGAAACAGGACTTCCTTACAAAAAGGTTTTCACTTCCTACTTTATTGACTGTTGAGTATTCTTCAGGATATTTACTTTTTCTATTGTATTCCACAATTTGCTTCTGAATTGATTGAGTATGCATGTATAAACATATATGCATTTAGTGACAATTATGGTACTTCAATGAAAAAATTTACAGGATTACAGTTAAGGTCGATTTTCATTTTGATTCCACCTTGAACAATAAAGAAAATCAGAACAGACCAAACTGGTATTACCCCACAATGATTGGACTCCATTACCCCTACTTCAATCAACATGTTCTATTTATTATGGACATCCCAAATTAATGCTTCACACAATTAGCAGATCCAGTCAACTCTTGCCTTTTGGACATCTCGCTATAGTGGACACCATGTGAAAACAGATAGCAGCTAAATCCCAGGCAAAAATAAATTAGAGAAGTTATTAAGCTATTATGGACTCTTGCTAATGAGTTGATTGTATTACACCATGACCTCTCCACAACAAACAACAAACAGCAAACAGCAAACAGCAAACAGCAGACAGCAAGCATGTCTACAATGAAGCTTAAAGGAATGGTTTGACTGTAATCTGGTGCTTTGGGCACTGACACTTCATGGTTTCTCAGTAACGTCTGGTAGGCAGGTACTGAGTCATTTAGAAAACTTAATTCCATTCAAAGTTAAAAAAAAAAAAGAAAGAAAAGAAAACAATATATTGAATCATTACTCTAAAGTCGAGAAAAAATAAAATCAAGTTACCTCAAATATCTTAGGATCTTTCACAAGTTTGAGAACATTCCTGAAGCCGTAGGCAGGGATACATTTCTGATTTTCGTTACATGGCTTTTTTGATCTACAAATTAAAATACAACACTCTGCCAGTTGAAGGGAAAACTCAACTCTATTTTCATTAACGCCTCAAAAAAATCTTAAGGAGAAGTTTATTATTAAAAAGAGCTATTCTAGCAAGCCAGGGTAAAATATTAGAAGAAAAGGAGGTCCATGAAAACACAACCTAATTGACTCTTAGGCCCAGTTAAATGTCAATTTATTATATACCGAATTAATACCAATTTACGTCAACCCAAATGATACAAGTTTGACACTTGATTCAGACGTCAAACTTAATTAGCCAGACTCAATTCATTTCCACGATGTTCAATGGTCTACAATGCTCACAAGTGAAAAAAGTTTTTAGTACATTAC